AGGTTCCCCCCCTTCCTTGCCGGCATTCTCAGCTGCACTCTAAGCAACATTGTAACAAAATATAGAAGCTAAACAAAACCCCGAGCTTCAGCCAGCAGGACCACAACATTGTTTCAAATACAGAAGGTAAACAAAGGCCAGAAACCTGCTTTCAGCAGCGGAGGTCTCATAGCTGGAGCCGAGCCTCAGAGCTAAAGCTGGCCCAGAATAAAAAAAAAAAAGGAAAAAAGGACAGGTTGGGAGCTTCAGTCACCCGCCAGCCTGAAAACGGCCCTCATCCCCTCACCCAGGCTGGCCAGGCACCCAAGCGGGACCCCCACCCTGAAGGGGGTGTGACCAGATGCAAACAGCCATCATCCCCTCACCCAGGCTGGCCAGGCACCCAAGCGGGACCCCCACCCTGATCCAGGACACCCTTCAGGGCAAACCAGCCGGCCCCCACCCGTGCACCAGGCTTCTATCCTATATAGTAAAAGGGTAATATGCCTCCCAGCACCGGGATCAGCGTGACAGGGGGCAGCGACCAAACCCTCTGATTGCCCTGCGGCTCTGTGTGTGACGGGGGCGCGGCCACAACCTCCCTATCCGCCCTGCTCTGTTCGTGACGGGGGAGCTCCTCAACCCCCTGATCGGTCCTGCTCTGTGCGTGACAGGGGGGAGCTCCCCAACCCCCTGATCGCCCTGCGGCTCTGTGTGTGACAGGGGGCGGGGCCACAACCCCCCCACCCCCATCGGCCCTGCCCTGAGTGTGACAGTGGCAGCGCCCCAACCCCCTGATCTGCCCTGCTCTGTGTGTGACAGGGGGCAGTGCCCCAACTCCCCTATCGGCCCTGCTCTGTGAGTGACGGGGGGGAGCTCCTCAACCCCCTCATCGGCCCTGCTCTGTGTGTGACAGGGGGGAGCTCCCCAACCCCCTGATGGGCCCTGCTCTGTGCGTGACAGGGGGTGGCGCCGCAACCTCCCCATCGACCCTGCCTTGAGTGTGACAGGGGGCGGTGCCCCAACCCCCCAATCGGCCCTACCCTGAGCGTGACTAGGGGTGGCATCGCAACCTCCCAATCCGCCCTGCTCTGTGCATGACGGGGCGGCGCCCCAACTCCCCAATCGGCCCTGCTCTGAGCCTGACCAGGGGCTCCACTTAGGGATTGGGCCTGCCCTCTGCCACCCGGGAGCAGGCCTAAGCCAGCAGGTCATTATCTCCCAAGGGGTCCCAGACTGCGAGAGGGCACAGGCCGGGCTGGGGGACCCCCGCCCCCCCAGTGCACAAATTTTTGTGCACCGGGCCTCTAGTATATATATAAAAGCCTAAGTCACCGAATGACTGAACAACTGGTCGACTGGTTGCTATGATGTGCACTGACCACCAGGAGGCAGACATTCAATGCAGGAGCAGCCCCCTGGTGGTCAGTGCACTCCCACGGCGGGAGTTGCTCAAAAAGTTAAACAGTTACCACATAATTCAGTAATTACACTCCTTAGGTATATACCCAAGAAAAATGAAAATCTACATGCCCACAAAAACTTGTGCACAGATGCTCATAGCAGCATTATTCATAATAGTCATACATTGGAAACAACCCAAATGTCTATCAACAGGTGAATAAGTAAACAAAATGCAGCACATCTATTCAAGAGAATATTATTCAGATGTAGTAAGGAATGAAATACTAACATCCTGCAACATAGGTGAACATTAAGAACGTTATGCTAAGTTAAAGAAACCAGACACAGAAGGCCACACATTGTATAAGCCCACATACATGAAAAGTCACAATAGGCAAATCTATAGAAATAAAGTAGGTTAGTGGTTGCCAGAGGCTGAGGAGAGGGGTTTAGAGTGAGGAGTGACTGCTAATAGGTGTAGGGTTTCTTTTTGGGGTCATGAAAATATTCTAGAATTAATGGTGATGGTTACAAAACAATAAAAGCCACTGAATTGTATACTTTAAAAGGGTGAATTTTATGGGTTGTATATTTTTTAAAAGCTTGGTAAAATAGCTTAGTTTTGTGCCCAGCATATAGTGGGTATTCAATAATGGTTAACTATTATCTATATTTTGGCTTGAATTGACTTCCTATCAAGAGCCCACCATTGTTAGTCAGATTCCAATATGCATTTATCTTTTTTAAAAATATGTTTTTATTTATTTTTCAGAGAGGGGAAGGGAGGGGAAGAGAGAGATAGAAACATCAATGAGAGAGAAACAAGAGAGAGATAGAAACATCAATGAGAGAGAAACATAGATTGGCTGCCTCCTCCACAGCCCCCACCAGGGATTGAGCCCGAAACCCCTCTTGGTGCATGGGTCGACACTCAACCACTGAGCCACACCAGCTGGGTGCAACATGCATTTAATACCATTCATTTCTTCATTCAGCATCTTATTCTGAGGTGTTTTGTATGTACTAGAAATTGTGCTGAATCTTAAATTTATAGAGAACTTGAAAACAGTCTTTGGTTAGGGCACATGCAGGAGGCAACAATCAATGTGTCACTCACTTTGATGTTTCTCTTCCCGCCCCTTCACTTCTCCCCCTCTCTCCCTCCCTCCCTTCCTTCCACTCTCTCTAAAAATCAATGGGAAAAATATCCTCAGGTAAGGATTAACAACAACAAAACACCCACACACACAACAGCAGAGAAGGTGACTTAAATGAGGTCATATTTGAGCTGAATTGTAAAAGTGAATTTGGAGTCAGACAAGAATTAGGGCATTCTAGGTAGAAGGACAATATGTATGAAGGCATGGAAGATTGGAATGTTTTGGAAAGTGTAAGGACAGGAGACAAAGTTATGTAATATAGGACAAAAGAAATACATGAATTTCATTTAATGCAATAATGTGAAGTCAAATTATCCATGAATGAGTGAGATCATGTGGTATTTTTCCTTCATTGACTGGCTTATTTCATTGCCTTTTGCATGAATTGAAAACTTAAAATGGGAATAAACTGCATCAGAAATATTTAGTGATATTCATGCATTGAAAGAATTTGAAATGCAAACTCACTTTCTTAAAAGTTAGGGTGGAGCAGAAGCATCACACATTAACAAATAAATGAAATGTTTATTTCCTAGGAAATCCTTATACTGCAGATTAAGGCAAAGAACAATCAATACCAGGATTTACTTCAGGATCTGCAGGAACAAAGCAAAGGATGGTGCAAAAGATCTTTACAAAAGAGCTATCAGTGTCATCTGCTTTGCCTTTTCAATTTTCTCTTCTAGCCTACATATGAGTAACTTAATAATAAGACACCTTTTTAAAAATATATTTTTTTATTGATTTCAGATGGGAAGGGAAAGGGAGAGAGAGAGAAACATCAATGATGAGAATCATTGATCAGCTGCCTCCTTCACGCCCCCTACTGGGGATGGAGCCAGCAACCCGAGCATGTGTCCTTAATTGGAATCAAACCCGGGATCCTTCATTCCCCAGGCAGACGCTCTATCCATTGAGCCAAACCAGCTAGGGCAAGTCACCTTTTTATCCACTGAAATATATGTGATTTTTTCCCAACAGAATAGCCTATGACTATGTTGGTTTTTTTTTTATTTTTTTATTGCTTAAAGTATTACAAAGGGTATTACATATGTGTCCTTTTTTTTTCCCCCGCCCTTGACAATCCCCTGGCCTCCCATACCCCCCAGTGTCTTATGTCCATTGGTTATGCTTATATGCATGCATACAAGTCCTTCGGTTGATCTCTTACCCCCCTCCCTCCTGCCCCCCCAACCCTCCCTGGCCTTCCCGCTGCAGTTTGACAATCAGTGTGAGGCAGCTCTGCCTCTGTATCTATTATTGTTCAAAAGTTTATAATGGTCTTTATTATCCATGAATGAGTGAGATCATGTGGTATTTTTC